CTTTTGAAACACTTACACTTCTATTTTTCGGAAATGACATTTTACTTAGAATAAAAAGATGGACGTATTCAGATATCTCTTCGAATTGAAGCAAAACAAAGTTTACACACACAAACAATACAAATACATTGACAGAATAGTTCTTTACACAAACAATGGAAAATGTTATAGAATAGCAGTCTTTGCTGAACCTAAATATTTTCATAAAGCAAAGAAAGTTGGTATAACTGAAATGGTGAAAGTTCTTGAAGCAGACAAAAATATAACTTCAAAACTTACAGATATTTCTAAAGGAAAGTTTATAATACAATATTATGTCAAAACTGGCGTACTGTCAATATTTGACGGAGAGAAGTCAGTTCAAGAACAACTTACTGACCTGCTGCCAAAATCTGCTCGATGGAAGCTGTCGTTATGCCAATCTGAGGAGCCCCAGCAGGTTTCATCGAACGAATTTTCAAAAGAGCATCTTCCGTGAAAAGTGCTATTGGTTTTGTAAACTTCTTTGCTTTCAATTCATCTGGACCGTCTCTGTCACCAGTATATTGTATTTGAACTGTACCAACAGTTGAAATACCACCCATAAAGTCTTCTGAGTCAGCAAATGGAATGCCAAGCCAAAAGTTTGAACGGTCTCCATTTGTATATTGAGTTTTTTGACCTCCTGTATGGGTCCATACTTTCACATATGGCATAATAGAACTTTGCATTTCAGGGTTAATGGTTGTTGTGAAGTTGTTGTTAAAGTTCATAGCATCTAATGTCAAGTTGTATGACCTCATATCCTCAACTGTAGAATATTCTTCTCTTGGATAATATTTGCCATCTATGTTTATATGATATTTAATACCAGGGTTGTAGAAACAAGAATAGTCATTTATAGTTCGTCTGAAAAGAACAAACATAGTATCTGCATGTTTCATTGCAGTTGTTAAGGCAATATCTGTTCTTGCACCTGGGTCAGCACTTTGGTTTCCAACTTCACCTGCAAAGTCTTTGACAGATATTTGGTGTATAGGGAACATAAGTGGAACTGCAATATATTTGGCAGCTAAAGCATTTGAAATATCTGGGTCCAACATATAGACTGCAAGTCTGCTTTCTATTCTCTTGCATTCAAATTTTTCGCATGTGAACTTAACTGGGTCCCAAGCATCTCCAGCAGCATTGAAATAATAGT